ACCAACACATTAGAGCCAGCACATTAGAACCAGCACATTAAACCAACACATTAGAGCCAGCACATTAGAACCAGCACATTAAACCAACACATTAGAGCCAGCACATTAGAACCAGCACATTAAACCAACACATTAGAGCCAGCACATTAGAACCAGCACATTAAACCAACACATTAGAGCCAGCACATTAGAACCAGAACATTAGAACCAGCACATTAGAACCAGAGTCTGTCTGTCCACACTGATGTCTGTGATCCTCTGCTGTGACAGACACCTCTGTTCAAGTCCCATGACAGTGAGTGAGTGAGTGAGTGAGTGAGTGAGTGAGTTAGTTAGTTAGTAACTTAGTTAGTTAGTTAGTTAGTTAATGTCAGCAGATATTTTATACAGATATAATTATTTAATGGTGTAAAACTGAATTCAATCAGTTTGATGGAGTAGATTCTCTCGTGGGACCAGATCTTCGTTGCTGCTTACTCAGACTCATCAGGGAAATTTAAATAAATACAAGAACACGAAGGTACAGGAAGTTTATTCTGTTCTGTCTTTAATCTTTATTTTTTTAGACATTTTGGTTTAAACAACATGGATTAGCAAAGAGTAGAGATTTTTAAGAACAGATGCAACAGTTGTTCAGCACTGTAATATTAACGAGCAGCTTCACACCTTGTTTTAACTCCATGAACATGAAGTTCTCAGGTTATGTCAGTGAAAGAATCTCTGTCTCTTATGAAACAGCTCCAGGATCACTAGATACAGATACATTCACTCACTGAGCAGCAGCACGATCGTTTTATACAGTCTCACCATGTTCACACAAACTTCACACTGAGTTTAATGAACATTAAAAATAAATCAGAGTGGAAATGATGAAAATTAAAACAAAAAAAAGTTTTCACATTCGTCTGAGGTGAAACAGCAGCTGTGAAACTTCACGAATGAACTCTGATCTAAACTGGAGTGAATCTCGTTTACAGATTTTCTTTCCTGTAGAATCAGTTCATCAGAAGCTGCTGTCTGATCATTCAGCTTCAGGCTGAAGTCTCAGAGGTCAGACACATTTACATGTTACATGAAGCGTTCTCTAAACACAGTGATCCCATTCATTTACACTCAACTGACTCACAGTGAAATGCTGCTGCTTTACAGGCTGCTGAGAGATGATGTGACCAGCTCTCTCCTTCTCCTTCTTCTTCTTCTTCTTCACGCTGAGAGCGGACAGTGGGACGGCTGACCTGAGCTTGGAGCCAAAACAGCCTCATTACATATTCATGAGTTTCAGATGCTGTCTACAAAGACACAGGAAACACGATCAGTGACATCAACCATGTGTATTAGAAACAGGTGAATGTGTTCGTTTGAGAATGTAGAAAACAGCTGTAAAGATCAGGCTGAGACAGAAGAAGAAGAAGAAGAAGAAGAAGAGCAGCAGGTTGATGGAGAGATGAAGATGATGACTTCCACATGTTCCTGACAGAGTCACTGACCAACTGAAATACCACTGATTCAACATGAAATACATACCTGAAAACATCGAGACCAGGTAACAACTGACAGGGTGGAACCAGGGGGTGGAGCCAGGGTGTAGAGGGGTGGAGTCAGAGTGTCCTGAAGAAGGTCGCACTGATTTCAGTAGCTGTGTCCCAGTTCATGGTCTCATCCTCCAGAGGCTCCAACAGTTAAAACCAAGAGTCTTAAAACAAAAAGTTACGTGTTGTCAAGGTTGGACAGGAGCCACAGTAAGGGCGGGAACAGCTGATGACAAGAGAAAATCCTCCGTAGACCAGAACGTCTCATTTCGGGCCACACCTTCGTAGACGATATTAGTTAATATAGTAACCATGGCGACTAAAGTCTTGTACATCGCTGTCGGTACAGTACGCTTGTTTATTATTGTAACCATGACAATCAAGGTCTGGTACACCTACTGCCGTAGGGGCGCTGTTTCAGGAGACACTCATATCAGATGGTTGGAACTAATGACATATATGTTCAGGCTGGAGGTGGCCCGGGACATGCTTAGCCTAGCTTAGCATGAAGACAGAAGGAAACTGTTAGCCTAGCTTAGCATGAAGACAGAAGGACAGGAGGAAACTGTTAGCCTAGCTAAGCACGAAGACAGAAGGAAACTATTAGCCTAGCTTAGCATGAAGACAGAAGGAAACTGTTAGCCTAGCTTAGCACGATGACAAAGCAGTACAAAACTGTTAGCCTAGCTGAGCACGATGACAAAGCAGTACGAAACTGTTAGCCTAGCTGAGCACGAAGACAGAAGGAAACTGTTAGCCTAGCTTAGGACAATGACAAAGCAGGAGGAAGCTGTTAGCCTAGCTTAGCACAATGACAAAGCAGGAGGAAGCTGTTAGCCTAGCTTAGCACAATGACAAAGCAGGAGGAAGCTGTTAGCCTAGCTTAGCACAATGACAAAGCAGGAGGAAGCTGTTAGCCTAGCTTAGCACAATGACAAAGCAGGAGGAAGCTGTTAGCCTAACTTCATCAA